GAAGAAGTTGAAAGTGCTGTTGCTTTCTAGATAATTACTCATGAATGGTGAATATTTTTCATAATAAAATTCTTCAACAATAATTTGATTTGTTTTAACATTCACTCCCCCAAAGAAGCCAACCAAACCTCTATTCTGAGCTCACTATAGGAAAATTTGCGATCTTGCTTTGCAATTAAAATTGAGTTACTATAAGTAACTTCCCCTCAGAGAATAATCAGAATCCAACAAAGAACAAATGCAATGGATTAAAAAAAAAAAGCACCACCAAGCTGTCTCCACATGGTTACTTGAAAAATAATCAAAATAAATCTGAAGTCTCTTTAAAACCCCAAATAATGATAAAAATGAAAGAAACTACTTAAAATTTATTCATTTATTTTACAAACAAACCGGGTATAAAACATATTAAGTTTTGGGTTCTGTTCAGAAACCTTCAAACAATTAGTAACAACTAAAAGCAATAATTTCCCATGAAATTTTTAACATTTCCGGCAGAGCATTGGGAAAAAAAAAAAGCAGAAAAAAATAACCTTTTCAAGCTCATCTTGTATTTCTTGGAGATTTTCAATGGTGATAACGAGCTCTCCATCAATATGCTCTTCCCATTGTTTTCTTCCTTCACTTCTCCCAATTTCTGCTTCTTCCCTTTGTCCAATCCCATAAGGTGAAGTCAGTAATCTAATAATTCAATATATTTCCAAAATTAAGAACTACTATGCATACCCATCAAATATAATTTTACTTTACATTTTGAAATTGCAGAACACGATTAATCACAACTCATTAAACACAATAAAATCCCCACAGAAATCTGTCGAATAACCCATTTCAACCACCAACAACAAAGGCTTGTGACTGGTTCGCCAATTTAATATACTACCAAAATTTACCACTACTGCAAATACCAAACAATTTTATTTCAAACACAATTCAATATGGGAAACACCGCACAAGAGGCATCATAAGTTTATTGAGTTTTACGACGTAAGATGTGCCGAAGCAGCACTTAGATCCTTAAATAGAAGTGAAATAGCTGGGAAACGAATAAAGCTAGAGCCTAGCCGTCCAGGGGGTGCACGTTATTCCCAGGCGAGGTCGCTAAAGTCGCGACTGTTGTTCGATTTTCAGCAGATTGGGGTTGCTTTTGAGCTGTTTCTGTCAAATTGCTGCCAGGGAGGCTTCGTCCAGAGGTGTGCAGCCTGTAGGGCGGAGGTTCCGGCTATGGAGTTGGCTGGAATGGTGATTTCCGACGTTTTTCAGTTTTTTTGGCAGAATTTTTGCAGCTTCGATTTCTAGAGGTTTTGTGGATGGATTTTCATTTGTTTTTGAATTTCTAGAGAGAAGAGAGAGCATTTAGGGGTAGAGAGAGANAGAATTTTTGCAGCTTCGATTTCTAAAGTTTTTGTGGATGGATTTTCATGTGTTTTTGAATTTCTAGAGAGAAGGGAGAGCATTTGGGGGAAGAGAGAGAAAGTGGAAGGGTGAGAATGATTAGGGTTTGGGTTAGGGTTTACGAAAATTTCGTTAGTTTTTCCGTTAAATCAACAAATTCCGTTAGATAGACACTTTTTATATAGAAAGAAAGATATATATGTGTGTGTGTGTGTGTTGAGAATTTATTTTAATTCACACATTCGATTTTGACTACATGAACAAACACACATTGATTGAAGATCAAAACTTGATGAATAAAATTAAGGTTTAAAACTAGATTATAATCCTTTGTCACATTTTTTATTGTAGTAACCCATAATAAGAGAAGAAAAATAAGGAGGATTCGTAGTACATCATCTGGTTAAAAAGAAAAATGAGAAAAATATGATGTTCTTGTACCAAGAACCAACCTCCTTCACGGCACATTGTTGAAACCCTAACTTTTTCTTTCATTTCTCCCTTGTATCTTCTCTTGTGATTCTCCATTATATAATCTGTGTAAAAAGTCGTATTTAGTCTAAAACATGTTATTATATCGTGCTTAAAACGCCTTGAAAGTTGTGCCTTGATGATGTTCAAAATAATCCCAAAATAAACTTGTAAAATCAATCAAAAGAATGCTTGCCCTACTTCAAAAGAATAGAAAATGTCTTAACCCCGATCTGGCTGCGGCATACATGGCATCTCCTTGGACAGCGGTCCTCCCCGTAACTTTCTAACTTTTTTACATTTTGATCCATAATTCAAGTTCTTCATACAATTTTGGTTCATTTTTATCCAAAAATTAAATACCGATCTTGAAACTTTCGAGAACTTTCACATCCGTCCCCGAACCTTCCCAAAACTGGTCCTCCACAAGTTCCCAAATACTCATATTATTCCCTACACTTTCGATAAGTTGAAATTCACTCCTGAAACTTGTGGCTTTCATCCAATTACTCTCTTTACGCTTCTTATCAATTTCGTTCAATTCGATTAGTTTTCAATTACTCCAAACTAACTCCAATTTAGATCCAAGATCCTATTTTTTTGTTTCAAATACCTCAATTTTGGGGTTTTATCTAAAATAATATTTACACTAATTTACATAGAAATCCTCTCAAGTTGCAAATATTTATCCAATTTATAAGTACTTATAAACGTGTAAAATACACTTACCATCTTGTATCGATTGTCTTATCATTTTTCAAGTTTGCTCTTTGGGTGAGTTTGTATTTGCGACATGTACGTTACTTTTTCATTAAAAATTCATGTAATAACAAATTTTATTATGTATTCCCCAATATTTTATAATCAAAATTGCAGTTTGGAGAGCAATAATAATATGGGCTTAATTTTCACTCGTGACCCGAACCGGGTGGCCCGCTAGCATATAATTATCAGCCCTAGGATTGTGAGGGCGAAATGGATGCATCTACAATAGCATCAGGCCCAGTTAAAGGCCGATCATCAACTAGGCCAGTGTATTAACAGCCTGTTCCTCCAAATAAGAAAACCCATAATCACAGCCCAATATCAATTAACTTCTTGTCCACCACATAAATGGTCTTAGCTATCTTTGCATCTAGAGGAAAGGCTAGAAATTTATGTTGAGTGGCTAATTTTGGAGCCGAAGGCTCCCTGACCCGCCCTTACATACATGAAGTACTATAAATAATCGATTATGCATGCTTAGATCTTACCTAATGCTATCAAAGCTCAAGGAAAGGGGCTAAAGATTGGGGTTTGACGGTGTTGGAAGGATTGAGAGACGGATAGAGGAGTTCGGTAGAAGAACAAATGATTGGCCCGTGTTGGGGCTCAGGCACCCAGCTTCCACGCCAAGGGATAGTCTTCTTATTGATGCTATAGACCTAGTGCATGTTTGGGAGAGATTGTGGCCAAATTTTAATTGAAATTGTGATCGTTAAAGGCAGTCGACGGGACCCGCTTGTGAGGGGAGTGGTCAAAATGTGCGGCTGACTTGGGGTGCTATGTAAGGATTTTTTAATCAAACA